ACTTTTTATATACTTTTCAGAAGGTCATATTTAGTGGAACAAATATTTTCAAGAAAGGCACCATTCGATGCAGCATTGCATCTCTTTTCAATGGTAACTCTTAGCAGCACAGTCAATGAGCCCTCGGAAGATACCAAAATCCGCGACCAATGCTTTTTAAGATGGTCAAGCTTCACAATTTTTCAAATTTTATAAGCCCTTTTAAGGGATCCAATAATGGATGAATAGAGCAAACCAGACGGAAAACTGTATAACGTTTCTCTCCTTTCTGTAGCTTCCATAATTTTCAGTAGATTCTATTTGATGCTACCAATTTCCACTTTGGTCAACTCAAACCTCGTAGAACAGCAACAGGCGAATTGACTAAAGTATCATTCAGTGCAGCGTCTTCTCCTCTTTCTAAGGGTTTTCAATTGTTTTAAATTCGTAGAATTTTAAGGATAAAATCATCATAATTTTATTCCCGTCTGCTTTGTAAATTTAGTGTTCATAATCCCTTCTTGCGGGTTTCGAATTTTAAAGATTTACTGGTGTTTGTTGCTGTTTTTGTCTTACGTACCTGACAAAATCCATTAGTTTTGGTGAAAATTTGATCAAAAATTATGGTGAGCTTTAGAAAGAAGAAACTTGTACTGTTTGGGTGGTGGGGGGTGGGGGCAGATACATTACTCAGTGCCACAAGTAGAATTCCGTGAAAGTCATTGAGACGGATGATACATAGCCTCCATTTTTCGCCGATTGTCGCCTTCCGCGTGCCCCCCTCCCGAGAGCTCATTGACTGTGTTGCAATAAGTTTACGACCGTTGGAAAGAGTGCACACGTGCTCCAATGCTATCAAGGTCTTTTAAAAATCTTTGTCTTACGAAGAGTTGCATTTATTTGAAAAAAGCGGCATTACTTTCGGAACAGGCTAATAGTAACTTCATGACTTCATACTTTGTTATTCGCTGCCGTATATATCGGGTTCGGCGCAAAACCAACCAGACAGTTTTTTTGAGACGGTCTTTTTTTATACCCGCATTTCAAAAAGTCTCCTTTGATTTTGTCAGGGTTTATTCATTGCTCACTTTTATTTTATCAATCAATTCTAAAATAGGTGAAAAAACGGAAACCCACTTTCTTATCATTTATTCCAATAAAGTAAAATTAGAACCCCCCCCCCCCCCTCCGCCCTCTCTCGCAGAAGTTGCTAAACTTCTGCGAGAGTTGCTAAACTTGATGGTCGAAGCGCCGCCGCCAATGAGGATTTCGGTACTTTTCCGTTATCCGGACTCATTTTTCAAAAAAGGATAATGCTTTTTTCCTTGCACCATATTTGATCTTAACATCACAGGAAGCAGTGTCAGCCTTCTTCCACGTGTCAAAAAAATTTGACATGCATCTACATGTTTGACAAGTTTTACCAAGAGTTTGTGTTGTTCTACCTAACGAAACAAGTTCTACCTGTTTTTTAGTCAATAATGACCCCATTTCCGAGTGAACAATTTTAAAAAGGAAACATTATTATAATGATAACGTCAGTTATCAATGAACAAACTAGGCATTCCCAGAATAGAGAAGTGCGCTAAGTTCCGTTATCTAAGCTCTGAAAAACCAACAGCAAAATACTACTTCAAGCCATCATTTATATACTTTCCTGGCTAAACTCGCATGGCGGAAAGTTTGAAGAGAAACGCATCTTCAGATCATTGTCTGAAGCAATTAAGATAGTTCAGTGATGGTTCTTCTAGATTGTTTTGCTTCTATAGAAACCAACTGAACAGCTTTTAGATGATTACAAATGCTCTTTTACTTCACCAGAAATGATTTCGAAAAAACATGTCAAAATGGACTAGATTACCTGGCACGCGGGGAAGCAGTATTTGTAGGATCTATGAAAAATTGTTCCAACATTAAGGCTACAGAATGTACTTTGTGAGAGCCTTTTGAAGAAATGGGTCCGGATAATGAAAAAATACCGAGATTTTCTAATGTTATAAAAATCTAGAGGAAAACCGTTTTATGCGATAACAAAATTTGTTCAAAAATTTGTTTAACATGCCCTTTATCTTACAAAAAAAGAATGAGAGTAATCATGTGGACAAAGATCTGGTTTAGCTTATTGTTAGATACCAGCTAATCTGGAATAAAATTGGCTCGACTTTTATTTGCACAAACTTCACAAATTCCCACTCATAACTTGAGTTCCCTCTCGCGCATGTGCACCAGATATGATGTCGCATCACTACGTTTTAGTTGTAAACAAACCATTTGTTTATTTGGGAGCGCAATTCTGAATTCCCGCCCTGCGAGATCGTCTTATAGGCATACCTTCGATAGCCTAGAGATAGGGCGTCAAAAGTGAAGGTTGTTTAAGTATCTGCCCCCCCCCCCTCCCCATAAGAAGTGGAAGTTGTTCATAGGAAACCAGAGAAAAGAAAGAGGTGCAAGCACTTAGCGAAAGCAAAAGAAGCTCTTGAAAACCCAATAAAACGCCGCAATCAGTTTGGAATTTTCCGTCTGGCTGCATCTAGAATTGCAGGTTTTCGCTACAGGACCAGACAATCCACAGCGCGGGGAAGAACGTAGGGAAGCTAGTTCTTCTCTGTGATTGTTTCTAAAACATATTTTGCAGGTGGTGATTATCAAGAAGAAAATAAATGAAAAACATTTAGTTATGAAAACATAAGGCTTTGTTATTTTCTAAGTCGAAATGCATGTCAAAGACAACCTAGCTTTTGATGCATCCTTCGAAATTTTAGCCCCTTGTCGTGGTTTCTGTTTCTGGCGACGTTGTCAGTTTTCTTGTGCTTATAATCCCGAGAAAACGCCTCCAAGCTTGTAAGAAATGGTTGATTACAAATTCTAATAAAGGCCTATGAACAAATACGCACCTTTTGCGGTTTTGCGCTGGATATTTCACCACAGTCGAAGAGGTTAGCCTTGCGATGTTGTCTACAATATGAATGGAAGCAAGATCTACGACTGCACAAAAAACCTGCTTGAAAAGGGCTAAATTGAAAAAAATTGAGGGTTTTTGAAAACACTGTTTACGCCAGATTTCTCGTTCAAATCGGAAAATGGAGTTCCGCGAAGTTGTCAGCATGAAAGTAGAGATTAAAAGCTCGACATGAGTGTTTTTTGATGAAAACCGTGGTATACAGTTTGCTAGGATTAAGTCGAGAACAACGAAGAAAAGGGTACCAGAACCAGATGCCCGTGTTTGGGGTAGCGAGTAGCAAGCAACGGAGACGCAGACGAGCAGCGGAGACAGGCCAGAGCTGACGGGGCATGCTCTGGTCATAGATCTCGGCCGGGTCTCAAAGAAACCCTCTAACACATTATATATAGTCGTGATTCCCATGCTACGACCAGGAATAATATCCACGAAAGTCCATAATGGATAAAAATGGACTTCCAAACCCCATTTTATTCGTTCGCGGTAGAAATGGTCGGAAACTACATTCGCCAGCGTTTCTAAAAAATTTTATTTCATCGCAGCCACGAGGCAAAGCGGTGTGATGAAAATGATTCACCCCTATTTGAGCTCTCGCTTGTGGAAGAATCATGCGAAAAGCACATTTAGAATGGGGCAAAATGGGATTTACCTCCATTTTAAATGGACTTGAAAGCCCATTTTACTCCCAGCAGCAAGATGAGCTGGGACTAAGCCCATTTTTGACCTTTTTGCACATTTTTGATTGGCGATTTTTTGAGATCGTGTTCCTTAGCCCAATCTAAGGTAACAAGTGAGTGGATAAAGTTTCATGTCTTTTATGAAGTCTGAAATAAGTGTTTCTTTCTAAACTCGTATAAACACTGTAGAAATCATTGAAGAAGGTTAAATTTACCAAAATATTCGCATTTTGATTCACAGATTGCAATGCAAGTCTAGCCAAAGTTTGCTTTCCGCAAAAAGCTCTACATACGAATTTGATTTGATGCAGATCCATAAAGGTCTCGAGAAGCGAAGGCCCGGTTAAATGAATTTTATTCTTGGAGGTGATATAGATGCATAGTTATTAAAATAAATGGTATTTTATGAGGTGTAACGAAGTGGGAAAGAATGAAAAATCCGCGTAGTTGTCATTGTAATATTAGGTCAGCTTTAGTTAGATACCGACCACTTGGTGGAAATGAGTTTGCAAGAGTGAGTAAACAGGTTGAGGCAAGTTGGAGAAAAATTTGCTGAAGAAGTTTTGTATGGAATGAATGGATTCGCGAATGCGATATCTTATCGCACCGCATGGACTAAGTCCATTTTTTTCTCCACGAAAAGCCCATTTCGCGAGGACTTTCGTGGATATCATTCCAGGAGCACTGACAATGTCGCTAATGTTGAAAATCATCCATAACGAGATGAACCTGCATTTAAGTGGACTCTCTGCGCAAGATTTAAGCGCAATTCTCGTTTTTATTGAACTCCAACAGCTTTCGTGAACTTTCAACTCATCGTAGTCTATAAAAAGGTTAATTGAGAGTTGTTTCTCATATTCTAGGGGAAATTTTGGATAAAAACCTTCTTTTCAGCAAAAAGGGCTACAAACAGGATCAAGCGTGTGATGCGACTGTCGCAAAGGGGGGTCGTAAAGGGGGCTTACGGTGAGGGGGGGGGGGGTCGTAAGAGAGGGTAGTTTGGATAAAAAACCGTACGATTGAAAGCAAATCAAATAGCAAGTAATTATTACATGTTCGTTACAATAATTCGTAGAATGCTGAGTACCAATATATCAAATGAGAACGACTAAGCAACATGCAATGTAGAACATTTGCCAATGTAGGAACTCGCTTTATTTGCTGCATTTTTGAGAGAGTATGACGATTTGTTTTTTATGCCTAGGTTAGTTAGGTTTTGAACTCCTCTCGTCTGCAGTCATATAGCGCAGTAAGACCAGACCGCATCAAGAGATTGGCGACAACAATGTTTTTTCCAAAGATATTGTCACGAAAGTTCGAGAAAATTGGCGTTGAGTTATTATGATGTGTTTCGGCAACTGTTTCTGAGCCGATAGAAAAAATTGCTAGTTTGGCCTCCTCCTCGTTCTGAAGTCAATCAGAAGACTGATTTCCTTGACTTCATGGCGAGTTCTCAGCCCGTGCATAGTCATGTAGTGTACAGTATGTTTAACAATCAAACGTTGACATCCCCTTAAAATATGTAGCCGTAGGTAATTTGGAAGAAAAACATACCACTTGCAAGAGCTGTTTTTATCTTTCATGAGACTGCCTTCTCTTCCAAACGTAGAAGGTCGTCCTGTATGTAGATTTAGGTCTGGACGAGGATGCAGCCATTGCGCGGCTAGCTGTTGATTTTTGACAGTCAAAATGCTGGGATCATCCCTTTGTATTCTGCAAATGGCAATAGGTTGTTTATAGGCAATTAGAAATCATCACATACGTCATCAATGAATCGAGGGTACTTGTTGCCGGATTGCTTCTTTCATCTTTTGTGAGTCTGTTCGCAGCGGGTTTTGGATCTGCATTACTTGCAGGAACGACTAACACACATCTAATTGCCTAAAACATCATGCCTAAGTTGCACTTAATGCAAATAATGATTTAGTACCTGCACAACTTCATCCGGTATCTGTAACGAATCGGAATTAGCAAGAAGCATTTGATGAAAAGATGCACTTTGTTCCATATCTTTGTAACCACTGTTCCATTGCAAGAATGTTTTAGCCGTTTTTGGTATGGTGTTTTAAAATCGTGTCATAGGGGATCTTAGAGTTTGGATGTTGCAGTATCTTTCGAGAGCGGGAATTGAGGCGTAAATAGAACGATGGCGCTCTTGTGGATTGAGCGCATTTGAGACCGGGTCAATGTAGCTCGGGCAGCCTCTGTTAAAGTAATTAGCTCCTGATGGCACGTAGTCAATGAATCCCGTGTCAAAGTCTCCATCGAAATCCATTACGTCCATGATTGTAGATTTTTCCAGCGCCATCAAGTCGTTCGCGTGAACCTCATGCGCTCTTGTTTCGCCCATTCGCGCAAGCAGCTGATCTTTGACATCGTTGTAAAACCTCTGTGCGGCATCTTGCAAAGAAGTTGACACAAAATCATGGTAAGCCTTTCCCATGTTGAAGCGTAACAATGCGCTCCTGTCAATCTCGGGGGCGTCCTCAGCAGAAAAGCTTTACTCTGGATCTCCAGCCGCAGTGTATACTTCGTGAGGAATTCCTTCAATGTATCTGAATCGTTTGAATGTCAGCATCTCTTCTCGCTCGTCGCTGTCCCCTTCAGCCGCCACAAAAATTATAATCTTGAAAAACTCTGGGATTGTAGAAAAGTAATAAGTTGTTGTTGCTCCACTCTTCTCCTCCCGAATTGGCGTCGTAATCATAAAATTCATCTCCTTCGATCCGACGGTATCTATCGCGCACTCTATCAAATGCTTTGAGTTCTCCCCTTTCAAGCAATCGTGTCGTTGTTCTGCTACTAAGAACATACTGAGCAATAAGATAGTACAGCTCTTTCCATTTTCGGATATTATCTATTAAAAGAGCTTCTTCATTTTGTAGCCTTAACGAAAAAAATGAGAGCTCTTGAAGTGTAGTATTTGCATGATTAGAAGCCAGGAACACTCTCCCATCCATGGGCACCCAGTGTGCAATCCTAGCCCTTCTCATTGTTGCTGCGCCGTATATATCTCGTTGTAACTCCCTTATAGTTTCGATAAAAACCGGATACATTCTAATGACATTGGATACTGCATTTCCCAAGCTCGCAGACCATCGTACTGTGAATAACGCCAACATCTCTAGTGGCTTATAGCGCATTTTCTTTGCAATCATATGGTAAGCAGCTCGTCCAGTCGTTCTCACTGTAGAACAAGGAAATGATGCATTTTCATAATGACTGCCTGAACTAACTTGAATAGTTCACCGTTTTGGGAGGCAAACACTAGGTTGAGCTTATGTGCCAGGACGAAAATCTCCAGCAGTTTCTTCCGTCAGGCGATCCTTCAGCAATGCGTAGACGCCACCAACATGCCCTTGCATAACTGCTGCTCCATCAGTTGATAAAGCTATCATGTTTTTCAGTGCGTACTGTCGCACTGTGTGTGGTAAACCTGGAGCATCCCGGCTAGATTCCATGCTGTCGAAATGTTTGAAGAGAGCTTCAACGATATGTTCTGCAGATTCGCTTTTAACCTCAGCAAGGAAGAAATGCACTGTGATAGGACGATGCTGCGGTGACACAGTTCGAAGTAAGAATACTATCCACTTTACTTCACTCACGAGAAGATGAGGAACCATCCAGAAGAAGTGCAAACGGCAATCTGTTGATCGTAACATATTTTAGGATGTCGTACTTCATATGCGTCGCAAAAGTCGTTACCATTCGACGCACTTTTTTCGCACCATTTCTATTCGGAAGCTACAGGCAGACATACAGACATACGGACATCTAGCTCTACATTTAAAGTTAGACTGTAAAAACCATAACTAACCATAACTAACCACAACCATAACTAACCACAACTAAACCGCTCATCGTTATCGATCACCCTCTAGTATCAAATAGCGAGAAAGAGAGAAAACCTTGAAGGAGATTAACTCACCAAAGAGGACTTCGTACTGATTGCAAGTAGACTATAGGAATTGAGTTTGAGCTTCTTCATAACGGTGTCATCTTTTCGAGAATTTTCCTCGACTGCCAGTTCGATATACTGCAGGTTAGCAGTACTTTGGAATTTTAGCGTAGAAATTTCGCTGATGTAAGGATGGCAATCGTCTAGTGCATTCAATATGGAAAGAATAGCGAAGATGTAAATTAGCGTCATTCAACACATTATGGCAATACTCTCGATGGTGAAGTTTTGGTCAAGAGAGTCGATAGGAGAGCCAACCGCACAGCGAAACGCAAGTGATTCACTGCTCGCATTCCATAGAGAAAAAATCAGGTCTTTGATTTCCATAGAACTGCACTGCATCGCTGCAAAACGAAACAACTGATAAACAACTGTCATCGTGAGATAAGCCATCAGCCAGTCTGCATTCAAAACCGCAAACACTAGTATGTGTGCTACAGATGCTGGATGTACCAATTGGCCTAGAAATTCTGCTTTCGGAACCTCACTGAAGTTTCACACACTCGACAAAAGCGCACATGTAGATCAACAATGACAATCAATAATTCGTAAATCTTTTTGTAATGCCATTTATGCGGACCTTACAATTTATATGTACTTTAGATAAGCCCTGCTACTGCTGTGCGAAATCTGGTGTTGTTTTATAAACTGCGGATTTTCTTATGATTTTATGTATGGTATGAAAAAATGAGAAAAGGGAGGTCGTATCTGCGCCTGATCTAAATTTCTCCGGAGCTATTGAAGCTTGTTAGCTGCAAACTTGCTGTAATACGAGGCCATCCCTCTAGTTTTTAACATGAGAATTTCAGGCTGTCTCATAACTTTTCTGGTAAGTTACAAAATCTTAAGCTCAAAAATCCCAGTTTTTGCTTTTTAGGATGGCATCTAATTTTGCGAGAGCCTGATCTAAATTTTTTCGAGCTCACTGCTCCTCAAGGGCTGAAACTTTTTTATGGATAGTCTGGGCACTATGCTACAAAACCGTTTAATGCAGCCTCTCAGTCTTTTCCTGTCCTTAGTTACGAATTTTCAGACTACCGTGCTCATGCACGTTTTTGACATCGTCTTGGATGGCACTAAAGCGGTTTTTTTCGCAGGAAAAACTGTGCAAGAGGTAGAAAATAAGCTTCTTAGTCGAAAACATCTTTTGTAGTTCAAGAATGCAATTTTTTTCTCCGTGCGAAAATTTGTGTCGCATACGGAAACCGAATTTGCTGGCCTGAAGTATGCCTAAAAATTCAAAAAAAAACTTGAATCCATCAGAACCAAAATCTCAAACATCATTGAAGGTGTGCATGTGTGCTACAGATGCTGGGCGCACCCACTGGCCTAGAAATTCTGCTTCCGAAACCTCACTGAAGTTCTCACGCAGGTGTTTTTTGAGATTGACATTCGCTTATGCAGGTTACCGCGAGGAATGTGGGCGGGACGTATGGAGGGTAGATGGAGGGGGGGGGTCGTATGAATGGGTTCCTTCAAGGGAGGGGTCGTAATTGGGGGTCCCCGTCGCATCAACACGCTTGATCCTGGCTACAAAAACAATATTTTGGTTTTCTGTGCTTTTTTCAAATATCACTCACTATACTTGCCTCATTCACATTCACTCCTTTGAAGTTATGTCATAATATCCGGGCTCGCTCCGGATGACTTCCGATTTCCAAGTGAAGGTTGTGTTCTATCATGATGCTCAAAGTGAAGATTACCGGAGTACATAACTCTATGTATCGAAGGTATGCATGTAGATAATGGCTCTGTCTTGGTTCGTACAAACGAGGATATCTAGTTGAACACTTTTTAGCATTGTTAGATTTCTATGTTTCCTGTTACTCCGGAGCTCTGCCGCGGATGACTCGGCTCCAGCTGTGCATAGCCCTGCGCGTATACACTCCAAATTTTGCCATCTCGTTGATTGCTTCTTTTTTTTTGTAAAACAAGGCATCCAAAGGACTCTTTCACTCTCCTACGCGTTGCGCAAGATCTGTTAGTATCCAGCACCATTCCTCTTTTTACATACACACTATCCAACTCAAAATATGCTTGCTCTTATCATGTACTCTTTATAAAGTTGATAGACATCATTTGATATATTTTTTATAGAGCAAATGAACACATTGTCATTGCAGGAGAAAAGTAGTTATTGCAGCAGCAAACCCCTTTGCATTGGAACTGAACGAAATACATAGAGTTCGTAGAACAACAGCACGTTAGGTGTCCTTTTCAAAATGAATAAGCATGCTTGTTTTCAGTTTCGCACTTTATAGATGTTGCAGTCACTGCAGCTGTGGTCTCATTCGCTGTAAAAATGGCAATGCTCATCGCAGTAAAGGTCAAACATTAATTGTTTTCATGCTGCAACAAATATGAGGAGCAAATAATTTTAGAAAAAAGACATTGCTTCTGCATTCCGAACCATATTCGTTGCAGCAACTATTCTGATTAGCCATCCCGTTTTGGAGAACGTAAGAAGCTTCAACGAGTACGTATCTTGCGACCAGTTTGGTATGATTATGTAATACTAAGTAAGAACTTTTCCGTCAGGTTTGATTTTAGTGACGAAATCGGTGGCGTATGCAGAGAGCATAGTTCTTGTCATGGATTTTGTTAGCTTCCTATTTGATGTCTATGATGCTGAAAGTCTCATGTTTTTCATATACTGTGACTCAGAAGATTACAAAATTTACGATGATTCTTTCTAAGGCTCGGCTTCAAGATGTCCAGTCAAAAGGGTATCAATGTCTTTTTTTGTCAAGTTTTCTCGATTGACCTTCGCAGAGATTGCGGCTGAAACCTTGCCATTGTATAGTACGTTTATGGCGGTTGAATAAACTAATGCTCATTGTTTTGTGACTTGATACGTTCGCCCAAAAATTATCATAGATATTACTGAGAAAGGTGAACAGTGAACATTTGTCAAGGTAGCCGGGTACGCAAATAGCTTTGAGTTGCAAAGAAGCATAAAGAAGGAATACGAAACATGATCATGTTATAAGTTTGCATATGCTGTGCAAAAGTACAATAGTGGCTGCTCGGGTTTACAAAACTTATAGCAGCTTTGTGTGGTTAATATGTGACTACCTCATCAAGTATGCTCTCTAATCTGGAATAATCCTACTAGGCTGTTCCAAAAGTTCTGTCTGATTTTTATGTGCCTCTTTCAATGCAGCTCTTTTTTCCGATTATTGCACCTATTGCAGCGCTATGAATACCACCTAGAAGCACTTTCCTTGCTCTTTCCAATGCTTGAAATCTCGATGAAACCACTACTAATGAAATTTTAAGTCCGAAGCCAAGTTGTCAAAATGCAGTATGCTCTAATAAAGTTTTATGAAGAGAATTTCCGCAGTGTTCGTGAGATTACAAGTATTATTTTACATTGAGTAAAGATGTAAAGGGCTCACAAACGCGCATTTTTACTCCCATAGAGAAAGTCTTACTTATCAAATCTGTCTACAAAGATTGAAGAATGTCTCAGATTTTCTAGAAGTGACAAGAAATGTACTTATGATGTATTCAATTTTGAATATGTTACGGCAAAGCGAGAACAAGCTGGAACCATCAGCCAACCATCTTCTTCGTTCGCGACAGCAAGAGAATCAAATGTCAGGAAGACTGTGTACCTGCGCGCCAAAGAAGAACCTCTGAATTATAGGCTACCACGCAGCTTGTAAGCTATTTTTCTTTGAAAGTGATTCTTTTCTGCAAATTTGCGTTCAAACTATCAATGAACTTATTGAAATCCGGTAGCTGGGATTGAACAGTTCATTTTTAAAAGTGGAAACTAAGAAACTCATTAGTGTGATGCCCATATTGCGAGCCTTTTTTGTTTTTTATCGACAGGATCGGTAGACGGCATTATAACTCGACCTTCACCTGGGATAAATATTTCTGCGTCCAGTTTCCAAATAATTTTTTATGATGCAGTGAAGTTTTCCTCTGCTTTGCAATTTAGAGGACCACGCTGTTACTTCGTAGCTGTCCCTGAAAACCATCACATAAACCTGCTCGCTGATGTTTTAACACATTGACGAACAACGTGACCCACATGGTGGGTCATGACTTGAATTTCGTTGAAAAGGCTGGTAACCTTGAATACGTTCGTCCAGAAGTTCTCTTACGCTCTATCCCTAGAAAGTGCTCGTGTGTTTCTCGCCTGCTTCGTAGAATTACTGTGTGAATTACGTTGCAAAAATTTTTTCGACTTATCCGTGGAAGGCATTGCCCCAAGAGGCGGTCAACTAAAAACACATGTTGTCGTCAACGTGTTAAGTAGCAGCTAAATGAGAGTTTATGGCGTTGAAACAATCGCAGACTTTGATGACGCAGCCACCAGTGTCACATGTCCTCTTTTTATTTATTCATTCATTGAGCACATAAGTAAGCGTGCCAAAAAACTCGAAAAAACATGTAATCTACCACAAATTGTTGTTATCGTATCTCTCCTTCCTGGAATATCGTTTTCTTTGTGCAAAGAATGAGTGCTACTCTACCGAGATCTCGTTCCTTTAATCAATGCATCTGTTCCAAGGTTTAACTTACTAAGGCTTTCTCAACGAACTTAACCGGAAACGGAACGGACGAATCCATTAGGACCCTGGACGAGCCTTCAAGAAAGAGAAGTCACTGCTGTTTGGTTTCTTCAAGTCATTCCAAAAACAAACTTCCGAATGACTGTCTAGAAGTAAAATAACCATCGAATTGGAGAACACCAAACTTTCGCAATATTTGCTGCAAGCTTTTTTCCTTCAAGGAACTCGACATGCATGTATTGCTTCAAGGTGAGCATGTAGCGCCGACAAAATCAATCGAGTGTTCGCGTTCAAAAGAGACTCGAAATGGCAGCATATGGCGTATGTGGGGGTGGAGGAATTAAGAATGCGCCAAGTAAAGCGACATAGCGACTACGGCTACGCCATGCCACTGGGAGAAAAAAAAGAACTTCAAAAGAAATCAAGTGAGGAACAAAAGTATTCAAGCAAAAGTGCTCATTTCAACAAAGGTTGTACTATTCAAACACTTAACAACTGGGATCTTTACAGAAAAACGTCCGTTGTCAACTTTTCATATCTGCAGATGTACTGCTAGAATTTATTTCACACGGGAAGTGCAAGCCATCTAGCGCTGCAACACACAAAAGAATGGAACATTATGGAAGATACACTGTTTTCTAGTTTGCGATAATCAAGAACAATCCACAAGTGACTACCTTCGGTCTAAAAACAGAATTTGGTTGTTTTCATCTACTTTCCTGCCTCAATATTCGTACACAATAAGGATGGTCAATCTCAATCAAGACAAGGCTTGGAGGTTGTCAAAACAGGGGTAACATCTGTAATAAACTAGTGAAACTAGCGAAAGTCTTTTGCAACGCTTCAAGCTGTTCAATGCCTTTCTTTAAGTAGAGACTCCACACAGGTGAAGCATATTCAAGATGCTTCGAAATGTAAGTCTATGACTGAACCAGAAGCATTGGGTCCCTACTTGAATACTTCTCAGGAAAAAGGGTTCTTGAGCGGTTCCATATGAAATGCATACTATCCTGTAGAGCGTGGAACGCTGATTCCAAATCTGCTTTCGTTATCTGCGGAATGCTTCTGCGAACGGAGCTACGGATTTTTTTAGGCAAAATTTCAAGGGTTTGGTTAAGTTAAAAACAGACGGTTTAGCTTGCGGCGCTTAAAGCGATAATGACTAGCATAAGTCAATTAGACGAGGTGAGAACTGCTTAAAGTGCCTGCCTGTAATCATAGCATATTCAAGCTCACTGACTGCAGTTCTAAATGTTTTTAATGTAGCCAGGTTCAGTTTTTCTTTTCTTTTTCAAGTTTTTGCTTCAATAAATTCCCATATCTCTTCCCCCCCCCCTCTCAAATCGCTTTGCAGCTAATGCAAGCAGATTTGAATTCAGCCTCCCAGGCTTCTTTAAGAGATTGTACATTTCGTATGCAAACGTCATTTCGACTCATGTCACTTCATATGTTATAACAATGAAAAGAACACAAAGAGCCATTTCGACTACGAACTCATGATCAAGGGCGAATTTGAGCTGATAATTTTTTGTCATCTACGGAAACTTGCATTTCGGGTGTTTTAGATTAGCCCAACTGCCAATTGGTGGGTGGATTTTCAAAAAGGTGCAAGTGGTAACAGTATACCTACCTGCGGTACTCCGCTACCACATAGAAATCGTCTGCACAAAACATTTCCTAGTGGAAAGTCATGCCTCTATCTTGCAGATATGATGTGAGCCAGGAGAGTAAATGTGGTCGTATACCGCAATGACAAGTTCACGCTAACATGAATGGTTGGCCTTGTAAACCGTTTCAAAGGCACCAAAAATATGGCGTCTACTGATCTACCCTAATTCAGGGCACCGATAAAGTCAAAAATTGAATCAAAGTAAAGCAGTAGTAGAACCTCTGGGAACGAAACCATGTCATGCAGATGGAATGATTTTGTTTTATCTAGCCGTTTGAAAAGCTCATTTCTAAACTTTTCAAGATTCTTCTGACGGCGAAGTTATACTAATGCGACGAAAATTGAAAACAACGTTTACTTACTCTATTTTAAGTACGACTGCCAGTCATTAGCGCCTCCTTCCGTACTTTGGGCATTTCCACAGCTGCAAGAGCGTGTATACAAGCGATAACGGAAAAGAGAGGACACTGGCGCGTTTCGAAATAAGATTTGCGGTGGGTCATCGTATGCAGCAATTTTCATCGCCTTGAAATTTCGAAAACAAGGTCTGCACTTCTAGCGCAAATGCATGCAGGTTTATCAAGGTGATTCGTGCCATATACAAATAAAGGTAAAGAAATGCCAGCGCTTCTGCTTCTTTTCCGTCACTTATGAGAGCATTACCATGTTCATCACTCAAATGAGTGAGTATCTGATGTCCTTAAGTTTTGTTTTTGAAATATTTGTGAAACTTTTTGGAGTAATTAAAAAGATGTCACGATTGACCAAAAACTTTTTGTGATAACTAATGTCCTCCCCGACTTTCCTTCAAAGAGGGTTATTCAAAGGATTTGATAACTGAGAAAAAGTTGGGTTTTTTGTCAAGTAGTTTTAATTATTAACAGACTTTCGGAGTTCGATGGGTTCAAAGTGAAATGACCAATTGCGCTGAAGAATTTTGTAGATGATTTCCAAAAAGGGTATTACAAATCATCAACTGACCGGTACTTTTCGAAAACATCATACCATTTGGAAGACGGCCAAGGGCGCAATTTTTCCAGACTTCACCAATTTAATAGCCCAGTTCAGGGCTAAGAAAGTCTTTCAAGTTCGTCAGACAAAGTGCTCTAGCCTGCAAAGTTACGTGAAGGTTACCTGAAGCTACCACTTGCTAAGTTTGAAGGCGTTTGGTAAAAACTTGATTGAAATATTCACGAAAATGCAATTGGTTGCATTTTCACTTGTTTTTGACCTCCAACTGATGATCTTTGTAACCTTTGTTAACCATCATCATTTTATGGGTTCAGATAGGTCATAGGTTGTCATAGGTTCTCTGCTCATAAAACCAGTCATTTACCTTTATCTTACGCAATATTCGATTCACGAGCCTCCAGTTCACGAACAAACTCACCAATGATCACGCTGACAATACGACGACAGTGCCTAGCTTCACGCACAGATGATGGGAGTATAAACGCAATCCCTACCAGAGATCAGCTCAAATAATGTGGACGTCATAGCT